AAAAAAGACCATGAGATAAAATTAAAACAATGGCATTTTCTATTTTCAGAAAGCTTCTTAAAGAACCTGTCTTCTCAAGAGCTTAAATAATCTCCACACTGGAAGGCTCATCTAAATACTCTGTCTAGTCAGAATGTGTTTATCTTCAGATGGCTGCCAAGGCCTTTCTGATTTGCCCCTGCTCACCAACTCTCTGATCTCATCTCTTACTACTCCTCCCAACACTGTCACTAAGCCATCACAAACTATGAGGCTGAACCACATGGTATTGCTAATATTCTATTTTGACTTTCAAAAATGGTAATTTTATATGGTGTAGCCCACTGGTCCTCAATAGGGGGCGATTTTCATCGCCAAGGGCCATTTGGCAATGTCTGGAAACATTTTTAGCTGTCACAGCTTGAGGAGGGTAATGCTTCTACTATCTCGTGGGTAAAAGCCAGGGATGATTCTAAACATCCTACAACAGCCCTAAACAAAAAGAAATTACCTGGCCCAAATCTTCGATAGTGCCACTGTTGAGAAACCCTGGTTGAACTTAATATGACAATCTTATCTCTCATCCCTATGCACAGAATATTCTTCCCCAATTCCCTTCATCTGACTTACTGTTGGTCATCTTTAAAGTCTTACCTTGAATGACACTTCTGGGAGACCTCCTCTGATCCCTAAGTCTGGATTAGGTGTCCTTCTGATATGATTACATAAAACTTTCTCTCTATCTTATCACTTATCACATTGTCCGACAACCACTTTACTTCCTTGCCTCTGACTGCGATCAACTTGAGGACAGCAATCTGTGTCTATCTAGTTAATACCTGTATCCCAAACGGCATGTACAGTGCCTGGCACATTAAGGGTTCAGTAAATTTTTCTTAAACAAATGATCGAATGAAGACACAGAGAAGACATGTACCTCTCAGTTAAACTGACAAGCACCCAGTTGAAGCAAATTGACAAGAAAATGATGGAGTTACTGGACGGGGATGAAACCAGAAAACTGATGACCTGAATCTGAATTCAGCTAAAGCCCCTTTCCAAGCCCCTTCACCCAGGGTACTTACATATACCGGTTGTTTCTCTGTCTTCAGGCCCAAGACTACAAGAGGCACACCACCAAACCAGCGAATACCTGGCAGAAGAAAGAATGAGAATTCTTCTTAGAAGGCCTATGCTGCTATAGGACCTACAATCTCCAGCTTAGTGTAATAATTTTGCATAAAAGAAATAATGAAATAAATAGTAGTTGATTCTAAGGAAGGTAAACATCTTATAAGAAGCAGCCATTTGTTTTTCAGACAACAAACATTAAAGTAAAACGACCAAATATTTAAGAAGGAGAGTAAAGAGGCCAAATGATTTGGCTTCTTCTACTCCATAAGGCTAAATGTATGGTCGCTTCCCATACTAAACTCTAACCACACCCCTTTCTAAGGAGGGGCACAGGAAGCAACAGATCAGTAATTTAAAAAAAACAGTTGCCATCAAGTTGGTTCTAACTCAAGGCAACCTCATGTGTGTCAGAGCCTATAATACCAACTGGCTATTTCCAGGTTACCAGTTGACTCCGACTAATCGTGGCCCCACGTGTATCAGTGTAGAACTGTGCTCCACAGAGTTTTAAATGCCTGATTTTTTTCGGAAGTAGATCACTAGTCCTTTCTTTTGAGGCACCTCTAGGTGGACTTGAACCTCCAACATTTCAGTTAGTGGCTCACTGCATTAGCCATTTGCACTACCCAGGAACTGTCAAATCAATATTTATTAATCTCTAAGCCCTTTCCATAGAAATTGCTATTAATCAAAAAGATCTATAAAATGTGTCTGACAAAGTGAGATGTTACATCTTTGTCTAACCTTCAAAATCAACATTTAAGTGATGTTGCAATCAGAATAAACGTGAGAAATCAGTTAAGACACGGGCTCCACATGAAGAGTATAAATGAAGCCAACATTTAAGCACTTACTATGTGCCAAGTGCTATAATAAAGGTAGCTTCATTTAACTAACACACCACTGTTGAGCTAGGCATTATCCTCTCTACTTTAGTAGATGAGGAACCAGCCACTCAGAGACTTGTTAAAGTTGCACAGCTAGTTAGCCACAGAGTCAAAATTTAAACTCAGTTCTCTGACTCCAAAATTCATTCTCTTTCCATTAACTGAGAAGTTGCTTCTTTTCACAAGAAGAACCATATTGACTATGACAGTATAACCTTAGTCCCTCAAGTTAGAGAACATTGTTGGCTTGTACATAACCCTTTCAAGACCCAATAATATTCTGCTTGGAATTTTTTTTTTTTTTTTTTTTGATACCATGTATTTTCATTAAAGGAAGCATGCTGAGTCATGGGGTATGTTTAAATTTTTGGTTGGTAATATGGATTTTGAGAAATATTATGTGCGAATACATCTGACCACAGAACTCAAGGGTTTATTGAGCACCATGATTGGTGGGCACCTGTCTTTCCCACCAGACCTGGGTGGCAGGATATATTGCAGGTTGCCTTCCATTCGGTTACACTGGGCACCTCTGGTTTTCCCAATATGACACACACAAAAAAGCAAAACTCACCAGGGCTCCTTAACTATCACATCGGAAACCATAAATATGCTTACAAGGCTTATCTAGCTGTACAAAAGCCAAAAGAGTCAAAACTTTTACCCAGTCACACTTCTTGGATGCACTACCTCACATTTAAGCCTGATACCCCAGCTATTCTGCTTCAATGAACAATTTCTTTCACCTTTCACCATTACACAAGACTCCCCTGGAGGGCAGCAAATACTTTTACTGGGAAAAGCAGGATCCCAAGAAACCTGAGAGCCAGGAAAAATGGGTGGGAAACCATCATCCCACGGATCCTGAAAGGGATTTATTAACTTCAATTTAACTGGTATCCCTCTCATCTACTATTAAGAAGGAACATGCACCTGCAAAATAGTTGAGGAATCTATCTTCTCTTCCAAAGATGTCCGATGGTTTTATGATAGTGACTTCTGGAAATGCATCTCTCACTTCTTTCTCTCCAACAGCCTAAATAAACAACCAAAAAAACAATTCCAACTGCTGAGATGAGTGAACAAAGCTCCCATTCTTTCCACTATCAGGACCCTACTTGTGTTTCAAAGAACATACTATCTGCCAGATTAAGGTAATCGTGTTATTCATAAAATTTACACAAAATTTTTAAAAACATACAAAAATGTCCTGCACTTTACAGCTTTTGTTGGGTTTCTGCAAATTTTTATTCTAAGGAAACTTACACTAAAGGAGGAGAAAAATCAGAGTAGAAATTTTGCAGCCTTCATTTTTCCTTCTAATCACAGATTCTCTAGTTGGTGTCAACAAGCTAGCAGCGCACCAAAGAAAGGAGAGGGAGGTGGCAGTGGGCTAATAATGGAAGTGGCAGCAGTATATACCTATCCAGAGGTGGTCACAGGTAGAATCACTGGCCTACCCAATCTCCAATGCTGCAACATCCCTGCTTGTTATCATCTACTAATCTTAGGCCTCTCAGTTCCTTGAGCTTCTCAACTCCAATGACCTCCTCTTCACTCTACTTCTGCCACTCTAAACAGTCACACCACAGATCATATCAACACTTGAAAGTGTCCCTCCTCTGAAAAACTAAATGAAAACATCCTACTCTCAGATGACAAGCTCCTATGTCTCTAGCCTGCTCATCCTTTGTTCACCTGTTCCTGAAATATCTGTTCCTCAACCTTATCTGGAAGTCTAGTCCACCAACTCTGCTTTCTCCCTTTATCAACCTCTCTGTATTCCAGATTATAGATTCCATGGCCCATCTTTTCAATCACTCTTTTACCAACACATTACCTTCCCCCTTTGTCCTTTACTCTACCCACCAGGCAAAATCCCAATCCTGGAAGAACCCCATTAGACATGGTCTTTTCAATCACCTCATATGCGTGCAAAAGTTGGATAATGTAAAAGGAAAAGAGAAGAATCGCTGCATTCCAACTGTGGTGTTGGCAAAAATATTGAATATATGATGGCCTGCCAGAAGAACAAACAAACCAGAATGTTCCTTAAATGCGAGGATGGCAAGAATTCTACTTGCTTACTTTGGACACATCATCAGGAAAGATCAATTGCTAGAAAAGGACATCATGTTTTGGTAAAGTAGCAGGCCAATAAAAATAGAGAAACCCTCAATGAGATGGACTGACACAATAGTTGCAACAATGGGCTCAAACATACCAACAAAAATGAAGATGGTGCAGGACTGAGCAATATTTCATTCTGTTATACGTAAAGTCGCCATCATTTGAAGGCAACTAACCACACCACCACCTTGCCCTTTTCCCCTTTACTCCACTCACCAGGCAAAAATCCCAATCCTGGAAGAACCCCATTAGCCAACTTCTTTGAGCCATGCACTCCCACTGCCTTCAGCAGCTGGAGGAAAATGAATAAAATTCGTAAACTGGTACCATTATAAATTCATGGCACCAATTTTAACTGGACCATCAACATTTCCCAGAAATACTGTTTTCCCCCTCTACTTAATTTACTCTTCCCTATGACAATTTCAAACATTTTCAATTTTCTTTGAATTTCAGAACTCCTTTTCCTTCCTTTTCCCTTCTAACTCAAAGAGAAATTATAAACTGACAGAGAAAAACCACCTCAAGTTCCCACCATCAAATCTACAAACTCAGGTGGTGATGCATGCACTTCTCCTTTCTTATCACAACAGAGAAGTGACAAGCATTGGAACTCACCTTCTCTCACTTTCTCAGAACCTGCCCAACTTACTCTCTCCTATATCTTCAGTCTCACTCTCTTTACCAGCTCCTCCCACTAGCATTAAACTATGTCAAGATCTTCTATCTTAAAAGAAAGAAAAAAAAATTTCTAACTCCACATCCCTCTCTAGCTATCTACCCTCTCTAACTCTTCTTCCTCTTGCCAGCCAAACTACTGAAAAATATTGTCTACCCTCATAGTCCCCACTGCCTCAGCTCCCACTCACTTTTCACTCACCTGTAGTCTGGATTCTGCCCCACACTTGCACTGAAATTATTCTTGATAAGGTCACCAATGACCTCCACATTAATAGATCCAAAGGTAACTTTACAGTTCTCATCTTACTTTTCTTCTCAGTAGCATTAAATACAAGGAACCACTCCCTCCTTCCTGCAACACTGTTGTCCCTTGGCTTCTATAACATCATACTCTCCTGGTTTCCCTCCCACCTCTCTATGTCCACTTCTTCTTAGTCTTTTTGTTGTTTTTTACAGGTGTGCCCTCCTCTACAAGTCCACTAATCATTGGTATTCCTCTAAGTCCAGTCCAAGGCCCTCTTTTCAGTTCTATACTTCTTCACTAAACCATCCTGCTCTCTCCCAATGCTGATCACTCCCAAACTTACATCTCCAACCCGGACCTGAGCTCCAGGACCATAAATCCCATTCACCACTGTTACCTGGCGATTGACATGCATCTAAAATGCAACCAGAGTCCAAAAGTGGATCACCATTTTCCATTCTCCCTAAAACAGTCTTTGTCAATCTTTGCTGCACATTGCAAGTACCTAAGCAGAGTTAAAAAATACTGATGCCCAAGTGCCACCCCCAGAGGCTCTGTTTTAACTGGTCTGGGGTGCAGCGTGGTCATAAGGATTCTTTAAAACTCTCTCAGTGATTCTAATGTGCAGCAAAAGCTAAGAACCACCACCCTAAAGCCTATTCCTTCTCAAGTGTTTCTTATCTTAGGAAGTAGTACCACCATTCACTTAGTGGCTTAGGCCAGAGGGCTGGACACCTTTGGCTCTTCTCTCTGACTCTTCTCTCTCACCACTGACCCCTCCTCCCTTTCAAACAATTATGAAATTCAGATAATTCTGTGAGTGCTAGGGCAGAAATGTATGCATGCACATGCACTCCCTCCCTTGCTCTTACTCTTGACAATGTAGTATGCAAATGTGACACCTGAACATGCTGACAGCCAGCTCTGTGACTATAAGAAACAAAGCTTAAAAAAAGAGACAGTCATATCTGCGAGAATCAGAGAAACGAAGCTGGGGCCCTGATAAACCCTGGCACCAATCGGTGCCTAATGTTCCTACCGCTGGATGTTTTCAGATATGTGGGCCTAAAAATTCCCTTTGTTTAAGCCAGCTTGCATTGGATTTTCTGATACTAACAATATTAACTAATAGGCGCTCCATTTCCCCTATTATGTGCTCCTACGGCACAGTTTACTACTTTGCAACACTTGGTGCACCTGAAATTATTTTCCTCAATGGACTAGAAACTTGATGGGGGCTAGGACCCTGTCTGCTTTGTTCACTACTCTATCCCCAGGGACCCCTAACACAATACGTGGCACATAGCAGGTGCCTAATAAATAATTTTTTAGAATAAATTAATGCAGTAGGCCAAAAAATCAGAGCCATTGTCAAGGAACACTGTTGTCCTTATCAAGCTGACCCAAAACAGGCTCATTCTGGCAGAAACCAATTGCTAATGGCAGTCCCAGACACTGCAATTCCTTCTGCGTCCCTGAAAATAAAGACATGTCAGGTTACAGACTGACTCCAAACCAGAGTGGTCAATCCCTAGGTATGATCTAGAATACAATGGAGTTTCTGCGAGTACAAAAGTACTATGTGAGCAGCCATGTCCCTTGCAAATATTTATCCCTTTCATCCTCAGCCTTCACATCATCCATTTAAGAGTGGCATAAAACCATGAATGCGTAAGGGACAGAGCAAAGTGGTTCTTTAACCTTGGTAGGTGACACAGGTATGAGTCTTCTAGCAGGAATCATACTCTACTTTTTTACGATGTTTACTGTGTAATTCTTTTATGCCCCCGAGAAACTTTTAAGTATTTAAGGGAAGGTAATAATATGGTTTACCCATCTTTGAAGCCACTTAGCACAGTTCTCTGCAAACAGAAAGCACTCAACCAAAATGTCAGAACACATACTCTTCTAGTTCTGAATATGGAGAATTAAAATTCTGAATATGTCAGTGAGAAACCCTTGACACTTAAATCATGTCTCAAAGGAGCCAAGAAACTCTTGCTCTGTGAACCACCTCCCAAATCAATATGTTACTTACTTTATTTCTCAGATATCTAGAAGGACTTTTAATATCAGCATTAAGATGAGACACATGAATCAGTCTTTCAACTCCAGCTTCCTTGGACACTTGAGCAATTGCTTGGGGAATCTTCACAAAGACATCATCATAATCAAAGTTTCTGGAAGAACAAAGAAGAGATCAGTTAAGAACACCAAAATGACTCAGGATTTCAAAGTTTTCTAGGATAAGCAGGTGTTCTTAAGTGATGAAATTCATAACAGTTAAACTTTAGAACAGCAGTGACTTAACCCAAAGCCCAAATTAATGTTTCTCTTGTTGTTAATTTTATATAGGTCTGCTCACTGTCATTACTATACATAATTTACCCTGGTGGTACAGTGGTTATGAGCTCGGCTGCTAATCAAAAGGCTGGCAGTTCGAATCCATCAGCCGCTCCTTGGAAACCCTATGAAGCAGTTCTACTCTGTTCTACAAGGTCGCTATGAGTCAGAATCAACTCGACGGCAACGGTATAAGTTACAAATCCATCATGTAGCATATTCTGTGTCTTCCAGGAATCCTGAGGCTGAGGCTCTTTATAAAACCTGGGTGCAGTGGCTGGGAAGACTGTGTTGGGGAGCAGGGAGGGGAATCACTTCTTATCCCCACACCTTAGTTTCCTCAGGGGTAAAAAAAAGACACTAAAAAAATCAGTCACTAATTCAATTCAACAACATTAACTAAATGCTCACTCTGCACAAAACACTGTATCAGTCACTATAGGGGATACTTATGACTAGATGACCCTCCAGTCATCAAAGAACTCGTAAAATACATGATGACACAGACACATATGTAAGTAAGTTTAAGTCCAACTTTAATCAATGCTATAAAAGAGGTGTGAACAAAGTGTTGTGGGACTATAGGGGTAAAACATTATTTTCTGATAAACAACCCACACAAAGGCTAAAAAGAACTGCTCAAACCAGTAATCATGCCATTTTCAATTAGCAATATGGAGAATATATCTAGAATACTGTCCAGATCTAGAACCAGTGTTCATCAAAGAACAGTGGAACAGGCAAAATCCTACTTCCTAACCCAATCCCAGAGGGACAGATCCAGGCACAGGTCCAATGTGGGTCATTCTATCAAGCTGATGACACCAGCCACACTGACACAACCCACTGGCTTTCTATGAGCAGCAGACTTAATGCCAGCTAGATTTCCTGGTGGCACAGTGGTTAAATAGCTCAGGTGCTAACCAAAAAGTCAGCAGTTTGAATCTACCAGCTGCTCCTCAGAGAAACCCTACGCGGCAGAACCGACTCAACGCAATAGGTTTGGTTTGATTTTTTTAAGATACCAACAAGATACCTTAAGGGGTCACTGGGTTTGTAAACGGTTGTTCAATCAGCCCATATTGATGGACTAATTGAAAACGTCACCACAATGCCTGGCATAGTGAAAGCGTCCAATAAATGTCTACTGAACCATAACAATTATGCGGACAAGAAATAAGAGTCAGAGACTTACCTAGTTTCCCATTCTCGCCCAACAAGATTGATGACCACATTGCTGTGCTCCACTGCTCTTCGGATAGAATCTTTGTCTCTTCCATTCCATTCCTGTAACAGGAGTAGCTAATCAGATGAAAACATAACGGTGCACCCTGCATGTAACACTTCTGTAGCTCTCCCAGGCAAGCTTCAAAATGAGCCACCTGTTATAGTCAAAATATGGAGCCATTTTGTACAGGCTCCACTTGTTACAACAGAAATGATTTTGAGGTCTCAAATACCCTTCTGATTCTCTGACTCTTCTGAAGACAAACAAGTCAAAGCACATTTTACTCAGGTAATCAAGTGACGGAACTAGAAAAGAGGCTGTTCATTTTTAATGGAGCATATAAAATGCCAAGGGTGAGAGAGGAAGAATCCAAGATGACTCAGGTTGGAAGAGCTTGCAGCACAACTGCATGAATGGCCCTAGAGCAGTGCCTGGAGAAAAGAAATCAAAAGTAAACCAAATTCCCAGGGTAAGGTCCAGAAGGCACAGTCAGGTTGGTAAACCAAGTGGCTGTTCAGATAGCACTTTCCAACAGAGACTAAAGAGAGGAAACAGCACCCTATACCTGAAAGGTCCCTCCTTCTAAAAAATAAACAACAATGATATAATGAAGTCCCTCTGCTATACCCCCCCCATACTTCCCCTTTCCTAATAATTATTGTAATCAAGTTATGCATTTAACATCTATATTCCCTGTTAAAACTATAAGCTTTCTGTGGTCTTGTTCATCAAGACATCCTCAGAGCTTAGCTCAATGCCAGGCACAAAGGAGACAATAAATATCTGCGGAAACATAGAATAAATGTTATATGTTTCAATTCCAATGATTTCACATTTGTAAGCTAGTCAAAGTTTTCACCTATCACTTGTGAAGTACTTTAATTCTGAGATGACAGGTGACCAATAAACTTAAGTCAC